GGCGGGGAGGGGGAGGATTCGTTTGGTGAGGGTGAAATATCTTTTGGAAGCTTAAATTTATTTGTCCTCAGTAACCTGTATTTAAATTTTAACATTTCAAAAGGGATTTGAGGAATCTGGTGTCAATTTGGAATTATTGTAATTTTGAGAAAAGAAAAAAGACATAGTATCTTTAATTTAAAAATTTATGTAAATGAGATTAGACTATTGTAATGTTAACTTGCAGTTTAATTTGTAAAAAAAGGTTTGATTATTTATTTTTGGAAGAAGTTATATATTTGTTAAACTAGGTATCCTTAGAAATACACTTCATAAAAATTGAGCCTTGATTCAAATCATAGTGTCAACTACTACAAATTAACTTTAGAAAATAAAAAAAAAGTGGAGGAGTGTGATAAGCTTCACTTTAGAAAGTTGAAAGTGCAATTCAAAACTTTTAAAGGTCTTTCTAGATATAGTAATCCTCCTCAAATTAATGCTAAGGATTGATATGGACATCCTAAGGAAAGAAAAAAAAAGTGATTAAAAGAAAGTATAGAGGGAGGAGAAGGTTGAGGAGAAGCCTTATCAAATTTTGGTTTCACTAGATTCATTTTAAAGTTACATTTCTAAGCTTATGTGTATTCAAAGTGTAATTGTAAGTTTTTTTTAAAATTGAGTGCTTAAATTATATTTTTCTACCATCTAAGTTACTTTAGTTAACAATTATTTACTACCTTTTGAATTGAATAGAAAATCAAGCTTATCAAGTTAGATGAAAGGTTTAATTTTACCCTAGAGTTAGACTTGTTTGCTAGAGTTAATCTAAATTTACACTACAAGTTTTCTTGAGGTAAAATAGCTGATAATTTTAATGAAACCCTCTCCAAAAAATGAATATATTTGGTTTTATAATTCTAGTGCTACTTGAGGACAAGTAACGTTTAAGTTCAAGGAATTTTTATGTGTAAAAAAGTATGCTTAAATTCCTTTTAGTATTGCAAATTTTTATGGATGAAATTGCACTTTAAAGATGGGTATTTTTATGTCTTTTTTTAGGCACAACATGTAGTAGAAGTGGAACGAAGTAGAGAATAAATGGAGCGAAGCAGAGGAAACGTGAAGATAAAGTTGACTCAAGAGACTGGCACCTAGGTGTCAACCATTGGGCACCTAAGACCTCCTACTAAGCGCATTGACACCACCATCTTAGAGGCCTTGGCGCCAATGTTCAAGCATGCAGACAGAAAGACTAGTGCTTAGGCACCAACTCAGTGCCTAGATGCCAATAAAAAACTGTTGGGGAGTTTTTAGCGGTTTTCCCCACTATGTGGGGAGTTATTTGACAGATGTAATAGATGCTTTTGGAGAGTTTTGGAGAAAATTTTTGGAGTTTTTAGAAGACGGAAAAGTAGGGTTTGTTGTAGGGAAGATTTAGGTGAGTTCACCTAGAGATTTTGGTGAGATTTGCAAGTTGTATTAGAGGGAACACATTCATCACTGCAGTGAGGATTAGGAGATCTTTTTTATTTCATTTTCTGTAAACATAATTCTAGTGGATTTGCTTTGTTTTAAAGATGTTTTCTGGTATTTTCTCCATGATTTGTAAGTAGTCTTCTTATCTTTCTCTTGTGATGATTATGTAGCAATGGTAGGAATGAAAAAATGCTTTTCAAATTTCTTTTAAAACCATAATGTGATGAGTAATCTTCAACTCTTAATTTACTTTTTATTCTGGGCAAGTGATTAATTAGAATGTGTTATGATCCATAATGACTCGGGAGCTATGGAAAAACGATTTAGTTACTATATGGAGATACATATTTTAGGGAAATAATCTACGATGGGTTCAAATTGGGGTTTAATGAATTAAAATCAATTTAACCAAGCTTCTAAATTAGCCATGGTGAAGCCCCAATTTTATTTAATTTCAACTTAAGTCCAAAAATCCCCAGTTTTGTCCCAAATTAGCCATGTCCCCAAACTTCACCAAATTGAGGGCCTTAACCCCAAAATTTCTACTCTATGTCTTCATGAAAAATCTTCACAACATCTTCCTTGATCATGTGAACCATTTAATTTGGAGTTAGCCCAAGGCTAGCTCAAATTATTCCCATGTCTAACCCAACATGCCCAAATTGACCAAATTTCAAAAATACCTCAAATTGACTCACCAATTTAACTCAAAATCACTTCAAACCTTCACCAAAAAACTTCATAACAATCATCTACACAATTTTGATCAATTAGTTGGGTCAATTGACATGGCTAGCCTAGCCCAAACTAAAGTTTTGATCACTTGAACCCACATTGAACCCATGCACTAAAGATGGCCTAACTATCCTAAAGTCATCAAATTAATGACTCCACAACTATGAATTGGGCCCTAGTGACCAGCCTAAGCCCCATGAAATCACCTAAGCTAAGTCATGGACCGAAGGTCCGCTAAATTAAGGGATTTCATTCCATATTTTCTTAAGCTTAGGATATTTTTGAAAAAAAAAAAAGCCTAAACACATTAAATTGTTGTGACATATTCCCCTGGCTCGTCTGACATCCCTAGCCACCTCCCCTGGCTGGCCGGCCGGCCTAGTGGCCGGAAAATGGCCAAACTGAGAGCCTAAACCTAATTCAAACCTAGAGGCCACCTCATCCAAATTGAAGCTTAGAGCCTCTCTGCCCTCCACCTAGGCAGCACATCTCACCCTCCAATTGGCCATGGCAGCAAGCCTTAGTCTATTTTTTATAAAAGCTCCCCTCCACGGCCATGGAAGGAGAGCTGAAAATTCCTCTAAGATACTTCCTCAAATTGATCCCAAAGCCTCTTCGAGACCTCCTCAGTCCAATCCAACCACCACATAACCCTGAATCCCCTTGCCGGAGCCTAATTTTTTAGCTCAAAACCTTGTCGGAGATAGGACAGGGCTACACGTCTACACTTCACCAAACTCAAATTAAACTTGCCCACATTTTCAAAGCACTGAAAGAAGCCAAAGCCCCATCAAATCCCCCTTCTATAGAGCCCCTTGTATAGACTTTGATCAAGACCTAGAATCGGCCTTGGTTGAATTTAGGTCTAGGCATTTCACCACAGCAAGAGGCTTAATCCCTAGCCTTCTTGGACCCCAACAAACGTGCCAAGAATCTCAATCTCTGATCGAAGCTTCTGATCGAAGCTTCCCTTCTCAAAGCCAAGGTATTGAACCTCTCCTTCTCTCGAGCCTATTTTGATTCTCCGTTTGATTAGGCTTAATTTAATTGCATGATTACTGTATGGATATGTTCATCTCACTTAGACGAGTTGATAGGATAAAGCCCAAAGTGAATTGGTTAAGTCTAGGCTAAGATCATAGAGTTTAGTGTGGACGGTCACAAGATCACTCTATCGGGGACGATGACGGGGAGTCATCCAATCGCACGTGTATCAGATGGACGGAGGAGATCGAGCCGGACAGCGTTTCCTTACACGAACCGCGGGCCGAGTCAGCGGCTAAGTGGGTGGCA